TCTGCGGCCAGGCGTTCGCCTGCGGTAAGAGAGGGAGGCTGCCATCTCGGCTCAGCGAGGGTCTGGCCGCGCGGGGCGGGCGGGGGCGGCGCACCGTGCGACTGCAGCTGCGCGATCGACTCGTTTGCCTGTTGGAGGGCTGCTGCGGTGGCGTCGCTCGCGGCCTGCTTCTCCTCCACCGCAAGCACGCGGCTGACGAGCGCTCGCCGCTGCTCCTCCGCACATTCCTCGTAGCGCGTGTGGTACGCGTCCTTGTCGCGCAGCTCGCGCTCGTGCTCCGCCACCAGGGCGTCGAGCAGAGAGGCTGGACTCGTCGGCGCCGGTTCAGGCCTCTCTGATAGCAGCGCCGAGGCCTGGGAAAGGACATGTGAGCAGACGCCGACGTGCCGCTCGGCAGCCAGCCGCGCGTACAGGCCCAAGGCCTCCGCGACCGCCTCGCCCATCTGAAGGAGCTCTGGCGGCACCACGCCTCCGCACGGTGGTGCAGCGCTGGCCTTGTCCGCGGCAGCCTCGAGCTTGTCGGCGGCAGCTTCGGTGGGCCGCCACTCGGAGAAGGCGAAGCTCTCCGAGGCACTAAAGCGTGGCATTTTTTTTCGGCGGCAGCCGCCGGCGCGAAGCCCACACAACTGGGAATCGATCGCCTCACAAGTCGCCGGAAGGCGGCGCTGTTCACATAAACGCACAACCCCGGGCCCCGAAATAGCACAGTGACAATCAGACATGCAACACGGGGACCCAGGGAAGGCGAGCAAAAACCTTATTGCGCGCGCGCTAGACGCCGACTCGGAGGCCGCACCGGTCAGGCGCGCAGCCGGAGACAGAGGGAGGCGCTCAATCGCCGAACTCGGCGAGCGCCTCCAGCGTCTCACACAAAATCACAACCCCGGACCCAAGACGCACAAGCAAGCACAGACAGTCGAGAAGGGAGCCGCTGTTCACACAAAAACACAACCCCGGACCCAAGACGCACAAGCAAGCACAGAGAGAGAGAGAGAGAGAGAGCTTGCTGCTCGCTGCGATGGCGAAAAACTCGTCTCGCCACACGCCAAGGGCTTATGCTCTGGCGAGACGTGAGGCGCATGCGCCCAGGAGGGGAGGGGGCATGTGTAACGACACTGCTAGAGATGCCTTTCGGGGCCCAGAGATAAAACTTCTGTGATGCCATGCGTGACCTAGTAGTGTCCCCAGCTATGGGCGTGTCCACGTTGGAGCCAGGTGTGGTGTGGGCGCGAGAATAGCTCCGCCGTTCATGGAGGCAACCGATGCGAGTCGACTGGTGTGTGTCGTCGTGGTTTCGTATCAAGAATTCTCTCTCTCGCAAGCACAGACAGTCGAGAAGGGAGCTGCTGTTCACAGAAAAACACAACCCCGTGTTTATTTTACGGCCCTTTCCCTGCGAACGCGCACCCCCAGGGCTAGGGCTCTCTTGCCCGCAATCCGATCCCGATCATCCGGCCCGCTGGGTGCGCTCCTCAGCTCCCCGGCCCTGGATGTGAGGTTGATGACTGCACTCCAAGTGCTCCAAGTGCCCCCCGGACCCCAGACGCACAAGCACAGACAGTCGAGAAGGGAGAGACAGAACGACAGTCACAGAAGTTGCCAGGAAGGCGAATGCGATGACGGCCTCTAGTGTGACAGGGCCGCTGTTCACAGGTGTGCAGAGCCGCTTGCGCGACTTTCCGAAAATTTGCGAAATCCGTGTCGCGTCGTGTGGCGACACGGCGTTGCGTAGTGTCGTGTCGTACGGTTTCCCTCATTTTCATGGCCGGCTTCCCCTCATCAGCTAGAGTGTGCTGTGTGAGAGTGAACAGAGAGAGGCTTGATTGAAGCCTGAGTCAGTCTCATTTTAAAACAATGGAGAGAGGAGCGCCCCTTGGCTCTCTCCTCTCACCGCACTCGCCGCTCTCGCAGGGCTCTAGGTCTAGCGGTCTAGGAGAGAGCATGAAAACCGCGAGGTCCCGCGCGTCCCGGGACACGCATCCAGCGTCTCTTGCCCCCTCTCCCGTCGAAAAAGTCTGGTAAGTCTCTCTGTCTCGCTCGCCGTGAGCGTGACCCCGCCATGGCCCATGGGCCCATGCCGCCTCGCGGCGTCCCACTCTCGCCGCTGGGCCTCCCCTGCAGTTACGAGTTAGTGACTCGTTTGCTTTCCTCTGGTGAGAGAAAAAAAATGCGTTTTACCTGCGAAAGACACTACTCTCCCCCCCCCGTCACTTGTCCCCCTTGGCGTGGCGCGCCTCTCCCCCAGCTCTCGGTATCGCGTACTGCACGAGGCTACCGTGGGCCCCGCCTGCGCGCTGGGGGTTCCCTGCCCTGTTGGGAAGCCTAGCTCTGAACCTGGGGTCGCTACCTAATGCGGGGCTCCTGGACGGGTGATGAAGTTCGCCTTGAATCTCTCGTCTCGCTTTCCCCCCTACTCGCGTCCATCGGGGGTACTCCCTGCCTTGGCTCTCTGATCTCCCCCCCCCCCCCCCCCCTCCTTCCCTCTCCGGGATGAGAAGCGCGCTGCTGTCCCTAGAGGGGGGTCGGGTGGTGAGGGAATTGATTAGGCTTCGTGTTGTTAGCGGTCGCCCACGGACGATCGCCGGAGTGGGCCGAAGGACAGAGGCTTGCCTGCGTGGGGGCGCGCGGGCGCCCACTCAGGCTCGGCCTCCGTTGTCTCAGCCTTCAGTTCACCTCTCCTAGCGCCCGGTTTTGCGTGGCGACCTTCATTTCGGGGTCGAAGGTGCTACACACACTTGCCCCCTGGTGGTCTGGCACTCGGCGTTATACCTACTGGGGTTAGGCTGTTTTTCTTTTATTTTCTGAGCCTCGGGGGGGCGGGGGGGAGGGGGGAAGTGGGTCCCCGCGGTGTTTTTTCTTTCCTGTCAGTTTTCTTTCTATAACGAGCTTTTTTCTTTTTGGTTTCTTTTATGGCAGTAAAAAGAAACGGAACTTTGTCGTTTGTGCGGCAGGCGCGGGCTCGGTCGATATCCCATACTTCGACTCACATCTTCACTGCTGCGGTGAGTGCCCGGGGAGGCGCGGCGGCGGGGTGAATGAAAAGGTCTCAGAATGCACAGAGAAAGAAAACTGGTAACTGCAGGCAGAGGCGCGCGCTGCAGTTTCTCTGATCGGGCTGCTGGCGGTGTGAGCGCGAGACGGCGTGGTGAGGCGTGAGGCAGGCTATTGTTGTGGGGTGCGGGCTGCGTCGTTAGGCGTATGCGTGCACATGGTGCTGTTTGCTGTGTACTTTGCTGTGTGTGCAGGCAGGCTGGCAGTGTGTGCTCTGTGCTGTGTGCAGGCAGACTGGACAGCGGACTGAACACCCATCCGTGCTGTGCGCGCGCCCCACACGAGGGCTCGCGCGTGGCGCGTCGCGTCGACGCGCACCGAGAGCGCTCCCATCTTCCACCCCCAGGCCCCACCACCCGCCCAGTCAACCCTGCTGCCAACCAACATCGAGCGCCCCCCCCTAGTCCGCCATCCGCTCGCCCGAGAGCATCGCCTCGCGGTGGCGAGAGTAGCCCTGCGCGCGGCGCTCCTCGGCGCGCTTCCGCGCCGCCGCGTGCTCCTCGTTGGCGTGGGTGGCGTGGGTGGCGCCGTGGCGCCCCGCCGCCGCCTGCTGCAGCCGCACCTTGCTCGAGGCCGCCTCGACCCACACGTCGTCCTGCACACGCGCGTTGGGTTGCAACTTTGTGGGGGTTGCGGGACCCCGGCTATTCACGGCAGGGCAGCGCGGGCTGTGCGGGGCAGGGCAGAGTGGGTTTCACGGCAGGGCAGGGTAGGGGACGGGCATACACGAGAGTCTACAGCCGTCCTCAGGCGCTGCGGCAGCGTCAAAAGTCGCACCTCTCCGCTCGCACGTCGGCTCGGCCAATCTGGGCGCATCTCGGGCCATCTCGGGCCATCTCGGGCCATCTCGCGCCCACGGGCCTCAACCGCACCTCCGAGTCGTAGCCGTCGCAGCTGACCTTGAACTGGCGCGCGCCGTCGACATGGCGCTCTGCGATGACGCGGCCGGGCACCCACCTGTGGCAAACCACGCGCAAGGACTCACCAGTGGTGTCACGGCTGCTGGAGGAGGGGGAAGGGGATGGAGGGGGGGGGGGGGGGGGCCGGAGGAAAAGGGGGAAAATGCCAATGGTCACCCTCCGCCCAAGCACGGCCAGGGGGGGGAAAAAAAAAACGCAACGGGAAAGCCGGACTGGCAGGTCAAAGGCAGCCCCGAGGGCGAGGCAGCAGGGATCGTCTGCTGCGGGGGTTAACCCAACCGGCGGCTGCGGGGCCTCC